CCCCCCCCCCATCGGCGGGAACGCCGAAGCAGTGAGCAGAGAGATAGCCGTGGCAGCGGCCGCAGGGATACGCGAAGGGAGGACGRAGACCGCGGACCGCCACAGGTCCATGCCTTCTGGGCACTCCGCAGCGGCCTGGCCCCGCTCCAGTCCGGGGTCAGGGGGGGCTGCCCAGTTCTCCAAAGCAGCGAGCGCAGGGGCGTTCAAAGTCCCCCGGGCCGCCAGGAGCACGGAGCTTGGCATGGCACAGTTGCGACTCAGACGAGACAGCTGCTGTGCACCAGTCCACAACAAATGTATATGTTGTGATGCCCGAAAAAAGGCTAAAAATAAAACCCTCATAGACTGGTGTCTATAGAGCAGGTATTTGTTTACTGCAGCGCTGGTGTAGCGCTGGAGGTGACAGGGGATCTCTTCTCCTAACCCACCTGCCTTYGCTTAGAATTGGCAGGTATTTATACAGTAAGTGTGGTATAACATTATCATCATCATTACACCCACCACCATATATGAGTACGGAAATACATTATATCACAGTTCGGCAAAGACGCCTGCGTCATCCTCAATTCAGTGGTCATGGGGGTCTCCCTCTAATGAGATACCATCCTCTTCATCATGGTGGACTTTTCACCTTTGTCTTCAGGGCATGCGCAGTTGTGATGTTCATGGTTTTTTTCTAGTCCTCCAGGTCTTCTTATTTCATTTTTCAGCTGTCTTGTGCATTTGCCAAGTTCTCATTAGTGCTCCCTACACTGTTCCTTATTATAGCATCTACCTGTCTACTTCTGCAGAACTTTTTTTGATTTATGCTTCTACTTTATCCAGGCACTAATCTAGCTGGTACACTATATGCTGCAAATATCCTATATAAAAACTTAAAACATTCTATGGAAAGGCTATYATTGATAATATATTGAAAGCTATTACATTGTATATTGATAATACGTAAAAAAGGTTATAAAAAGTTTTCAATCAGTAGGCCTCAAAAGCATCTTGTAACTTTGACTTAAACCATAGGTATCAGTTGACGTCTTCCAGAAAGGGGAAAAACCCAACCTGATAATGCAAGATCGTTGTCTTTTCAATATGATAACAGATCTGTTTTCTATTCCATTTAGGTGGCTGTTCATGGAGGCAGTTAAAACTGCAAGGTTGATGGTTTTACCCCAGGGGCAAGCTGCAACATGAGCAAGATCCCATAGCATTGTTTGGGATGGAGGATTCTAAAGCTTTCTTTAAAGATTACTAAACAAACCATTTGCCCTCAGATTCTAAAGCTTTGCATTAAAGATATTTTGATTTAAAGCAAGTTATAGAAATTGCTCAATACCTTGAGATGGTTTACCATGGTTGCCCGCAGAATTTGACTTTTTGCAGTTTTGTTCCAGTGATGTGTGCAAGCACCCTTTGCATGTGTTGAAGTGCCTGTTTTTTTATTAATGACACATTTTCACACTAGATTGCAGGAAGCAACTGCAAATACTCAGAAGACCAGGATCATCACGGTTGCTAACAGAAAACACTAACCTTCAAATTGCTCTTACAGTTTTCTTTTTAGCAGCTATGTATTCACTATACGTCACAGAAGAGGTGACGGAGATGCATTGCTTGACCTTATATGCWAATATTACTGCAGCAAATATCGTCAGCAAACTATAATGATGCATCAAAAAGAATCAGCAAAGACTCCATTAGTCAAGCATATAAGTGACTCTATCTTATGACATAAAAGTGTTGATGGCTTCCATTGTTTACACGAAAACTGTAATGTTGTAACTGATTTTGCATATGTTGCTAAGGTTATTTCCCCTATTACAACATGTCAGTAATTCCTTTTATGTATAGAGTTACAGTTTTTGAAGATTTTGATCACAACAGTGGGATCTTTCACAACATTTTCCCATGAAGCAAAGCAAGCATTTAATGTATCCAAAAATCATACTTAAAAATGAAAGAAAAAGGGGAGTAAGAGAGCCCTCGTGAGAGAGCCCTCATAACACATTAACAAAAGTTTTGAATGTCTTCAGCTTTTAAATAGAAAATGTGTTGGTGTTTTGAAGTGTTGTTGCTCTTTTCAATTGTATTGCATTTGAAAATGTTTCATAATCGGTTCAGGTTTTTCTAAATGTTTAAGTAGTACATGGCATAGSTGCCTTTGTTTTGTTTCATTAATTAAAACAAAGAAAGAGGCATATGTTGGGGTTAAGAAAAAGCCTGTCATGATTGACAGGACCCTGCCTTGTGTGTCAGGCTGTGATTGAGTTAATTAGAGCCCATGGACAYTACCCAACCACAAATGTGATTGGATAAGAAGCCTCATGGGTGGTGGCCCCATGGAGCAAACAGCCAGTGTGTGTTTAGCTGGGAAGTTTAGGGTATAAAGGAATACAGCTTTTGAAAATAAATGGAAAAGTAGGATTTCTTTGAACCATCAGATGAGTCCGTGTCCTTTGTCCCACCATTGTCACGAATGGCTGTCCATATTGGGCATATCAGGCACGAAGGTAAAAGGACACCCAGTCACAGTTCCAAATCTTGGTTAGTGTTTAATATAGTTTTGATTGGTTTGCATAGATTAATGATTTTGCAAAATCAGCATTGTATTGACCAGGCAGGTTTGCAAACATTTCTTCACCTGGCAACATCAGTACCCGAGAGAGGAACCTGCTCTGTGGCCTTGGTGGCATGGATAGAGCAGGGAGGAGCTTAGGACATTTGTCAGCCCAGCCTCTGTCCCCAGGCATTGGCAGCCGCGGCTGCTCAGCCCAGGTTTGCGGGTGAGTTTGGCTGTGGCCCAGCTCCATCCTCCTGCGAGGCTCAGGGTCTCTGTTCCCGGCAATGGCTGGCCCTGCCTGGTCTCTGTCGCGACCCCAAGCCCGGCAGAGCTGGGGCAGGGCTGTCTGGGAAGGCCCACARGTGCCAYGGGCTGGGCAGGAGCTGGCAGAGGCTGCCCAGCAGGGAGGCCATGGGGGCCCCGAGCCCCAGGGGCTGCTGTGGCACCACGGCAGAGGGGCCGTTCCCCCCGGAATGCTCCTGGCCTGGGCTGGGMCTGCACAGGGGGGCTGTGGCACCATGGCCGGGGCAGCACAGGGGCACAGAGGGGCCATGGAGCCGCTGCCAGGGGGACAGCGAGGCCAGGGACAGACAAGGAATTTCTGTGCATGGCCTGGGCTGGGCAGGGCTGAGTGTGGGAAAGGCAGAGCTCAGCYGGCCTTGGGGGCTGCAGGGAAAGTCAAGAGCCCAAAAAGGCTCCATGTCTGTGCTGGAGAGCGAGGCTGGAGCAGGGAAATGCAGGGCTGCTGTGGGATGGGGAAGGGGATTGAATTCCAGCAGACACCACTGTGGGCCTGAGGGACTCAAGGGCTTCTTGGCCTGAGCCTCTCCTGGAAAGGAAGGAGAGTTCATCTTGGCAGCACCCTCATGGGATCCCAGAAAGACAAATGCCAGTGTCCCAGGCTGGAGCTGCCTGGGAGCAGCCCTGGAGGAAAACTCTTGGTGGGCAGGAGCTGGGCAGTAGGTAGCCGTGTACCCTGGCGGTGAGGGATGCCAGGAGCCCCTGGACTCTGTGACTAGGAGCTCTGGGGTGTGGATTGTCCTGGTCACTGTGCCCTGGTTCGGGTTCCCCAGGTGAGGGAAGGGCCTCCAAGGTGCGGCTGGAGCCCTTGGGCTGTGAGCAGAGGCTGAGGGAGCTGGGCTGGTCCAGCACCGAGAAGGGAAGGCTGAGGGGCTCCTGATCCCAGCCTGGCAGTGCCACTCAGGAGGTGATGGAGAGCACAGAGCCAGGCTCTTCACCGGGGTACCTGGAGGGAGACAGAAGACAATGGTGGGAAGGGGAAAGAGGGGAGATCAGACAGGACAGGAAGAAACTTTTGTTCTCCTAGCCTCAGCCACCTGCTGAGATGCTGCCCCTTCCCTGTCCTTTGGGACCAAATCAAGTTTTGGTTTGACCCAGTTTCTGACAGGTTGGGCGGCAGCCTTGCTGAGGGCCCTTGYAACCTCAGTTCTCTGATGATCCCAGCATGCTACTGGTCCCTTTTTCAAACTGCAGCAGAGTAGATGTTTATGGGACAGGAGCCCTCCGGGGCTGTAGGGGACCTGCAGCTTGTGAGGTGCATGAGCACATCCTCATTACCTGGGTCATTTGAGTGCTTGTAAGAAATGACAGTTTTCCTACCAGGACAGAACAGGAATTTCCTGGAAATGTACTGATGGCAGGAGAAGCAATACTTATCTTCCCCTCTACTTTTGTCTCCAACATTCCATCCATTATTTCATGTCCCTCTTCATTCAGGTGTTTCCACCTCTCCTGTTTAAAAGGCCGTGTCTAAGGACATCTGTTCACCAGACCAGCTGGATCTGTGTCCTTCCCATTGCTCCTAGATTTCCTCCTCCAGTTCCTGTCTGGTCATTCATTGACTGCCTTCACGCTTTGAGCTTCAGGGAGTTTCCCAGACTTCCAGAAGTTTAAATAACGCAGCAGCCACGTTCCTGCCTCTCCCCCACCGTGTCTTGTCCCAGTTCTGGGGGGTGGGGGCGGGGCAGGGGCTAAAAATAGCTMCGGGCTGGGAAGGGAGGAGGGGTGAGGGCTAGGGGGAATAAGCAGGTGTTTCCCACGCCCTCCGCCACGCTGGTCTGGTGGGGGGGCTTGGGGGGATGGGAGAGGGGTGATGGATGTCGGGAGGTGGGGGACGGGTGAGGTCAAGGGGAGAGCGCTGGGTG